TTATGACCCAGAATATGGTATGCCTTGGTCGTGTGCATTTGGAAAGCGTATATATCCAGCTGCTACTGGGTAAAGTGTTCTAAAAATGTCAGAACCAGGTGGTTGATGATGTTTTTCATTTCTACATCCTTGATTTTCTGTCCACTGTGTCTATCAATTACTGAGAAAACAGTGTTGAAGTCCCCATGTGTAATCGTTGATTTGTCTAATCCTCCTTTCCATTTTTGTCCATTTTTGCTTTATGTATTTGAAATTCTGTTGTTAGGTACGTAGAAATTTCCAGCTGGGATGATATCTTTGTGGGCTCTTCCCTTCATCACTATGTAATATTCCTTCACCCTGGGAATTTTCTTTGCTCTTAACTCTACTTGGTCTGATATTAACCTTTTTTAGATTATTGTTTGCATGGTGTATTTTTATCCATTCTTTTACTTTTAACCCACCTATATCTATTACTTGAGGTGAAGTATTTTTAGACAGCACATACTTGGGTTATTTTTTTTTAATTCATTCCATCTTTTCATTGGCATAATTAGACCATTTACATTTAAAGTAATTAGTAATATGATTGCACTTAGATATAAGCATAATAACATTTATTTCATTTTGTTATTTATCTTATTACGTTTTATTGTATTTCATTTGTTTTCTGTCTTTTCCCTGTTTTCCATTTCTTCTCCCTTCCTTTGGGCTGTTTTAACACTTTTTTAGTATTTTAGTTTAGTTTACCTATTAGTTTGTAACTAGAGTTATCTCTCTTTGTGGTTTTTCCACTGGTGGCTCTAGGGCAGCGGTTCTCAACCTGTGGGGCGCCACCCCTTTGGAGGTCAACTGACCCTTTCACGGTGAACGCTTACAGTGTAATTGGAATCCATATTTTACCACCTTAAAGTAGAATGTAGAAACCTTTCCACCATACAGATCCTTTAACCCCTCCTTGGTGTTATAGTGACATATGTTTCACGGATGCACACCCTGAAAATCTGCTCTGATGATGTCATGATTTTGCTTTCCGTCATCACACGTATTTCGAAGAACGGAGCAGACACCGGTCGTTGGCTCTGCCTCCGCCTCCTGGTGCGAGCTCCCTCCAGCACCCCTCCCCCCATGTCAGCGATGCCCCGCGCTCAGGTCTGCTGGAGAGGCGTCACCTTTGTTCTTATCTGAACGTGTCATTGTTGTCACTTCGTTCTTGAAGGATTTTTTTCCACTGGACACACAATTCTGAGTTTCTAGGATTTTCTTTCACTACTTTGAGCGTGTTCTTTCATTGCCTCCTGGCCACGGTGGCTTCTGACGAGACTTCTCTAGTCCTTCAAACTCTGTCCCCCACGAACAGTGCAGCTTTTTCTCCGGTTGTTTGAGGGTTTTTTCTCTGCAGCTTGATCATGATGTATCCAGGAGTGGATTTCTTCGGGTGTGTCCTGTTTGCAGTTTGCTCGGCTGAAATCTATAGGTCTGTATCTTTGGCCAACATGGGGACTTTTTATGCTATTTTTTTTTCCTGCACCACACTGTTTTCCTCTTCTTCTGGAACTTGAATCGTTTCGATGTTACGCCTCTTGGCTCCGTCCCCCGTGTCCTCAAGGTTCTTTTGGAGTGTGTGTTTGTTTTGAACGTTTTCCTCTGTGTTTTCCAGATTGGAGAATTATACTGACTTCTCTTCCGTTTCACTGGCCCTCTCCTCTGGCATCTCCGCTCTGTTGCTAAGCCCGGGCGGTGCAGGTTTTCAGTATTAAAATGTCCCTTTGATTCTTCTTCATAACTTACATTTCTCTGAAATGCTGTCTTGTCCTCTGTTCCAAGGGCATCTTCCCTTTTCGTCGCATTTTTACCCCAGATCAGATGAGGTATATCACACCATCGTGCTGCACACTTGAAATGTCTTACCATCTTTTTGGTCAATTATGCCCCAAAGAGCTGGGGGAAAACGTCGTCCGGTGATTCCGACTTCTGTGCCGTCTCCACCTCGCCATTTGCTGGTTCACTTTTCCCAGATGAGGGGAGGTTTCCTGTCCGCCGGGGCCCCTGCCGCTGGTATTGGTGTCTGCATCGGCCTCACTGTCCTCCCACACGTGACATGAAAAGAGCTCACACCAAGGGTGGTGCACATGACACAGGACAGGAGCTCTCCATGGTGTCAGCACCTCCTGGCTGATGATGTGCAACCCAGGCAGAGAATTTAGGAAACCATGTCTGCAGGGTTAGGTGGTCCCTGTAGGTGTGTTTAAATAGGCACCCAGAAAACTAAAATGAAAATGGCCATGTCCTCAGGTAAGGGTGCTCTGGGAAGCAGGTTGGCCTCCAGCGGGGCCTGCCTTGACCCCCCGCACAGACAGGAAGCCAGGCCCCAGAACAGGCCGGAGAAAGGAGGAGGAGGGAGAGGAACTTCCAGAACTTGGCTGCCAGTGGCCGTTCCGCACCACCCCGGGTTCACAGCCTGCTCTCTGGGGGGATGGAGGAGGACCATAATGGGAGAGAAAAGAATAATATTTTAACAGTGCCCCTTGGGCCACTCGAAATGATGGCCCAGCTACTGAGGATTTATGTGGTCACCTCAACCTCAAGAAAATATCTCTGTTCATTTTTATGAGCAGGTTTCACTCCATTATGGAAAGATATTTAACAACCCAAGGTGCTGGCCCCTCCTCAAAGACGGGTTCAGATTCCGCGTCCGGCTTTGCCGAGGTTGGGGTTAACGGTGCCGACTGAGAGCGGCTTAAACTAATTAATGCACTTGCTCCTTCCCAGGTGAAATTGAGTTTCAAGATACATGTATAAAATGATGTGCTTGATTGCTAAATATTGCCTTCTTTTGGCTTTTTTCCCCTAATATATTGCCTGGTATGTCCAGGGTGAGAAATGGTCTCCCATGAAAAATGGACAATAGAGCGGAAAATGTTGGATAAACTCTGTGCGCAGATGTGGCTGTATAATTGTTTTATGATACGATACTTTTGCACTCGGATAGAAGGTGTTCTGTAATGTGGCGGTGATTCGTCAGGGCTGACGCTCCGAGGCCGAGGCGCCTGGCTCCCAGACTCTCTGTGCTGCAGTGGGCTTTTTTTTTAATCCCCGCCTGAAGAGGATATGTTTAGAGAGAGGAAGGGGCGGGGGGGAGAGAGAGAGAGAAACATCGACATGAGAGAAACATTAATCGGTTGCCTTCTGTGCACGCCCTGACCAGGGATCGAACCTGCAACCTTGGTATGTGCCCTAGCCCAGGATCGAGCCCACCACCTTTTAGTGTACCGGACGATGCTCCAGCCCAGTGAGCCGCCCGGCCAGGGCTTGCTGCGTGGACTTGGTACACACACCTTCCTGGTCTTCCGGCTGGTTCAGAAGGTCCTGGGCTGCCCTGGAAAACCAAGGAGCATCCTCTCCCGAGTCCTGACAGAAGCCAGCCACCCGCTTGGGGCTCTCGGGCGGGCAAGGCTCCGGCCGCTGCCCCCGAAACCGCTTTTTCCTCAAGTCATCATCACCGGCTGCGTCCTTTTCTCTTTTCTTCCATTTTTTTCAAGTGAGGCGTAACAACAGCAGCAACAATAATAATGATTAACAGTTTGGTTTCAAACCCTTTGGAAGAAATCACAGTAAACAGAGTCTGTTTGCCTAAGGAAACCCTCCCAGCAATGAGCCCTCAACACAACTGCTTGTGCTAATGAACCCCAAGCTGTTAATGTGGTTTCTTCAGTTAAATTGATTCATGAATTTTGAAGAGAACATTATCTAATGAATTTTCTTTGAATAGAAAGCAATTAAAAGGACAAATCAGTCTGATTAACCCCAAAGTCACCCTCCTGCCACAAACGGTGTACAGTTTGAAATTATATCATAAAAACTGGAGCACATTCGCTAGCTTTTGCCCTCACCCAATCCATGTAAATTAATGAACAACAAAGTTAATTTCTTTGATGACCCTTTTCTCGTATCACCTGGATTATGCTGATGTTTAATTTGCTTAATGTTATAATAAAGACTAAACAGATTTTTTTCCCCTGGTGAAGTGATTATCATTCCCTTCGGTTAAGAAGTGAGTTTTATTATTTAACACACATGTAAGGGTGTGTTTCCTTTAAGAACCAAATTGCACTTTGCCAGCTTGGCACAGAGTGTAATTAGTGCCATTCCGGGCACAATCCGGGCACCGCTCCTGCCTGCGGAATCCTCCCCTTTGCCGGTGCCGTCGGGACCTCCTGCCACCGAGGGGCTGGACGGCCCACCCTGGGGACGCAGCCCTGTGTCCAGGGCTCCAGAGCCAGACCTCCCCTTCGGAAAGACAATAGGCAGCATTCAGACGGCCTCCTTCCCAGCCCTGGCTTCTCTCCCACACGCCACACCCGAACACGGCTCTGACACCGGGTCAGAGGGAGAGGGCGTTGTGTTCACCTGTTCATCCAGCAGCACACGGAGAGCGGATGCAGTGCACACGGGAAGGAAGTTGTTATAGCTCGCAGCCCTGCTCACTACAGATGCCTGCAGCCAAGGTCACTGCCGGCCCCGGGGCGCCGTGCCTCGGCATTCTGAGTCTGCTCACTGCTGAATGGACAGCTAGCCTGACATCCCAGCCCGGCCCGTGGCTGCTTTCTCTTTCTGCGTCTCAGCGGAAGTTGGAAGTGAACCAGCAGTACAAAGGATTTGGAAGTCGGCGGGCAGGCAGGGCCTTCTCTGCTTATGAACTGGACCGTGTGCTGATTTATACCTGCCGTGACCCGGGAGAGCGTCAGGCAGGAACAGGGACGATGGAAGAAGCTGCAGATCTGTGATGTGTGGTCAGGGATCCCTGGAAGGAGCCAGCCTGCTGTGCCCTGCCTCCCGCGCCTCCCTCCTGCCAGGTACCAGGTGCCAGGTGACAGGAGCGTGCGTGGAGGCCGTGTTTTAATTGAGTGTAACACCTCTGTTTGTGGCGATGCGTTTCTGTCTCGGGACTGGCAGCTGTTTATATCAGAGCTGTTGGAGCCAATTGTCCAAATAACATCATTCTGCGTTCTTCCTTCTAGACTCATTCACCGGACAGGTGCTATGGAAGCTGCTGAAGGAGGTGAAATTCGGAGAAGTGGTTTCTTACCAGCAGTTAGCAGCCCTGGTAGGCAGCCCCAAAGCTGCGCGGGCCGTGGGCGGAGCAATGAGAAACAACCCTGTAAGTCCGGGTCAGCACGGGGATGGGTTGGTGGGTGGGCCTGGGCACCGAGCGGGGGCCGTGTCATTTGATGTGAGCCTGTTTCCCAGGCAGCCTGTGCTGCGGGGGTGTGGGAAGGAAGTGTTTGTGATGGGGACCTCGGAAGAGGCATGGGCAATGCCTGTGGGTTGGGCTCCCACCCCTGTTTTTGGGGAAGTGGTAACGAATCTTTCACCCCCACCCTTGAAAGTCCCCCCCCCCCCAGTGTGTTAGATCCACAGGAGCACGCAGAGGGATGAAGCCCGGAGAGGTGGTGAGCAGACATTCATTCATTCATTCAGCAGCTGGGTCCCTAGGTGCCCCCTGGAAGCCAGACACCCTCCTAGGTTCCGGGTTACAGCAGGAAACAAAGCAGGGTGAAAGGCCCCCTCCTGGAGCTCATGTTCTAGAATGGTTCATGTGCTGGGTCCGTCTCCCCGGGGCCACCTTCTGTTAGGAGGTCCAGCCCTCCTGGGCCTGATCGTTAGGAACGGCTAAGCTCTGACACACGACCTGGGAAAGTCACCGGTTTCGGGTGTCTGCTGGGGGTGTGGCTGTCCCCAAGCTCCTTCATGTCCTGTCTCTCCTGTGTGTCCGAAGTCGGGTTTTGCTGGGAGCAAAGCTCACAGACCACAGGAAGGTGTCTTCTCCAGAGGATGGGGCTTGCGGCGTGGGATGGCTGCGCCTGTTGTCCCCAGAAGTATGAGTTAGGGGAGAGGGTGTGCTGTGGGCCTGTATGTGGGGAGGATGGGCTCCCCGTCTGCAGAGCAGCTCAGCCGCGTGAGGCCCCGAATGTGCCCATCCTCATTCGCCTCTCCAGCGCCCAGTGCAGACACCCTGTCGCATCGGTAGGCTTCTCCCGGAGGCCACAGGGAAGTCTCTAATATGACAGAAGAATATGATCTGATCAGGACGAGCAAATAGCATCGTTGAATCATGGGATGGGAAATGACTAAATCAGACCCACTTTATAAAAAATTGTGTGGCTTTGCTGTATATTTTCAAAACTATTTTCATCCCTGCTCACAGGGGACAGGCGGGCATTTGTGCACCACACTCGGCTGCACCTGCCACTCGGCTCGTGGCCGCCCCAGGGCAGAGCCCGGCCTCTCTGGGAGACGGCAATTACGTAGCCTTGTGCACAGAACGGCATTGTTGTTCTCAGAGGCAGCTCCTGTAAGTCTGCCGTGGATTGCAGTGTCTCAGTGTAGGTCTAATCTGCAAAAGGACCTGGCCGGGAGAGCATCGTGGGACACGGACGACGCCTCGCACCCTCTGTCTCTCGAGTCCCGGGTTCTCGGCGACGAGGGCTGGTGGGCCCAGTTGGCAGTGCACCCGCTGTGTTCCGTTGCTCTTGCCGGCCTGTCCTTGGCATGCATCTCGCCGTGCAGAGGCTGCGTTTTCTCGGAGCACTTGGCGTGATTTCCAAATGAAGTTTGTCAATGTGGTTTGTTATATTTGCCAGTAAAGTTTAAATGTATTTTCCCTTTGGAGGGTCCCTGTCTTCTCCCGGGTTATGACTCAGTTCGACGTTGCTGCAGATAAAAAGGCCACCTGGACGCTGTGGTATCAGGGCTGTGGTATCGGCTCCACTGCGCACCTGGGGCGCGGGGCGCTGCCGGGTTTCTGCGCTCGTTCCCTGCGTCACTGTGGACGTCGTGCTCATAGGTGTTCTCCCTTCGTCCAGATCTCCATCCCTGCTCCAGGCCGGGCTTCCGCTGCCCTTGCTCCGTGGGTGGACTTGCTCACTCCCATCCCCCACCCTGGCATCCGGTTTGACGCCCAGGTGTGCACATGTGCACGGCGGCGACACCGGCCGCTCCCCAGGGGTGTGCGGTGCCCACACCTTGGCGTAGAAACAAGCTCTCTAGCCGACGGATACAAAAGAGGAGCCCTCGCCTGCCCCGGCGCCGGGGGTCCCTCGCTCCTGCGGTGGGGTCGCCCCGGCAGTTCCACAGTGGTGCTCCTGGCCATACTCGGAACATTTATTGTGCAGCCAGCACCACGCTCGTCTCCTGCCATTAATCTCTATGACTGTCTCTCTGCACGTGTGGCCTCAGTCACTGAAATTTATAAAGAGGATCCACAGGGCTTAAAACGTGAACATCCACGAAGTCCTCCTATTGACCTGCCCGTCGCGGGCCAACTGAGCCCCGTGGTGGTGACTACGGACCTGGCAGGACCTCTGCGGGTGCCCCCTCCTCCCAGCCTCCCGAAGGCAGCCAGGTGGCTCTGAGCCTTCGTGGCCTTTCCACGGCCTCGTCCTGCCACTGAGCACGTAACTCAGGCAGGGACCCTCACCTGACAAAGAGGTTGCCAAGGTGCCGGCAGCTGCAGGAGCTGAGAGGTGCAGGCGTCTCAGGTGTTCTGCAGGAACCGTGTGGCTGACGCCACTGCGGTGTGGCCGGTGTGCGACAGTCCCCACAGGGTTTCTGTAAAGTAATGAAAACCTCCCGAGAACAGGCTTGGGGATCCAAGAGGTGACTCAGACCCAAGGGAGAAAGGGGCGCTGGTCCTCGGCAGGACCATGAGGCTGGCAGCGGGCTCGGCCACTCCCACCCGAGTGCAGGGAGGAGACCTGCTCCGGACACATCTCTGTTCAGGCTGAAGAGAGCAGGTGTGCATTTGGGGGGCGGGGGGGGTGTGTAAATGGGCTTGGAATGTTGGAAAATATGGGGTGCATGATGCACCCCTCAGGCGGTTTGCAGCGTGGGCGGACACATTCGGCATCACGTCCTTTCCCTTGACAGGGGAAGGCATGGCTTTTGCCGGGTGGGAGTTTGGACCCATCCTAGACCCTTGATTTTCCCAAAATTTTCCTTGAGGGACTCGTTAGCCCAGGGAAGACGACGTGGCAACCTTCCAGAAGGCTCTCCTCCCAACCCACCGTGGAGGCCGGTCCGTTTTCTGGTAGATCGGACTGAAGGCACCTCCCACCCTCCCGCACAAAACTCCTCCTGCTCATCCTCAGACAGAATTTGCTTAATGCACTTCAAAGGCAATCAATACGGCGCACACAGTTTCCCGCCTTCTCCTAAACAAAGCGCATTCTGGAGGAGTTAGTTTATTCACAGATCGCCACGAGCATTAATGACCCCGAGCCGTGTTCTGCCAGTCACCCAGATGGCTGTTGATAAAGATTTAGCATCATGTTCTGAGTGTCAGGGCTGTCAGTGGGCTGAACCATTTGACCAGAAGAAAAAAACGCACAGGGAGCTATTGATTACAGCTTCTCCGTGTCACTTGTTCACCAGGATTTAGGTATTGATGAGGCCGCGAGTGAAAACAAGCTTCTTCCCCTGTGGGCCGCTACCCACACGAACAAAGGCGAAGTTGGAGAAAATATGCAGCCGGTACCAGAATCAGAGGGATTCCCTATCGATCGAAAGGCCCCTTCGTGTTGTTTTTGTTGGAGACAAATCTATGGGTTTCGAAGTTTTATAGCGTTTGAGAAAGGGTCCGTGTAAGTGATGGATTCGCGTATTGGATGAATTAGATTTCACAGCGTGAAGGTTCCAGGGCAGCTGGGATATTATGAGCTGCTTGGTTATTGATAAAAATTACATTTTATGCAGCACAGTCACTGAAGGAGAAGGGATGGAGGGTCCGGCTCCTTTGAAATGTCCTTAGGGCCCCAATAAATTTTAGCAGGTTTCATTATTTTAATAGCGTGAAACCTGCCACCAAAATTAACAGGAACAGAAGCAGCGCTCCCCATTCTAGTGGTGAGACAGCGCGTGTGGGTCAGTCACCTGTTTCCCATCACCCGCGCGACGCACCGCGTCACAGCTCAGCTGTAATTAGTGGACATTCCCGTCCAGCCGTCCCGCTACCTGCGTGACACCCGGAGCGCCGTTCACAGTTGGCAGCTCGTCGGGAGGGAGGGGTCGCGTGTGCAACCTGTCAGGCAGCAGACGTGGAGCCACGGCCTACCTGTCTGCAAAGCCGAGTGGAATGCAGTGCCTGCCCCTCCACCGGTCAGACACTCGGCTTGTACATGATCTAATCGTGTTATTAATGTGACCGTGGTATCTGATAAAACAAAATCCTCGATTGAGTAAGTGTTCCATCCTTAAAGTTCTGTTTCCCTCCAGGAAGGTGGGAAGGCTCCATTTGCAGGATGAACAGCGGTGCTGCTGCCCTGTTCAACTGCACTCAGCGGGAACTCGCTGGCCGACACGCACGTGTTACCATGGCAACCCAAACTTCTGGTGGGAGGCAGGACTGGTGTTCTGTGCCCGGAATGGCCAGTGCCCAGGCCCTGCCTCAGCCATCCCCTAGGGCTGTTCCGAGAGGGGTGAGGGGTGTGTCTGGGTGGGAATCCTTTGCCCCCAAGTAGCCGTGTGACCTGAGGGTGACAGGGCCTGGCCCGGGTTTGTTGGAGGACATGCTGTCCCAATGTGCCCCTGCGGGCACAGAGCACACTCTCCCCAATGGCCTCATTGAGCACTGCATCCAAGATGGGGACCTGGGCCCATGCCACCTCCCCCGGGGCAGAGGCAGCTCGGTGCCAGCAGAGCAGGCCTCCAGGCAGTGGGTCTGCGGCAAGCTGAGATGGACGAGTGCCCAGAGGGCGACATCTGGGCTCTGTTCTCAGTAAAGGGCTTCCAGTGATGGCAGGGGCAGGAATGGCCACCCGGGGAGCAGAGGACACCCAGATACTGTGAGAGGAGACCCAGGCACGTGTGCTCACCGCTTCCTGCACCCTCAGCTGCTCCGGGTCGCCCACTTTGAAGGTGGACATGGAGGTCGGGGTGCAGACTCCTCACCTTCAGGGCCTGGCAGGACCTGCTGTGTCTCCAGATTGAGGTACACGGAGCAGGCAGGCGGGACACGTGAGTGCCCAGAGGAGGGCGTGGGTGGGCGCAGAGAAGGGCCTTAGTGCCAGGAGAAGGGCGTGGGAAAAGGCCGGTGGGACAGGCCAGGCGGGACGGGCCAGGGCTCTGCACCGCCCAGGGGTGGGCTCCGCTGTCACTTTCCAGAAAGGTTTTCCAGCTCGACATGCCGCCCCATACCTTGGAATGTCATTTTAAATTTTGTTAATGCCCTTTATAAACATCTTTCAAGTGAGTTTGTTTCTCCTCCCACATCTCGATGCGTAAGGATTGGCCGGAGGCTGTCCCTCAGGGACTGTGTCCTTCTCTGCCCCACCCCCCAGGCCCCGAGGGACCCCAGAGACCTGGGGGCGTGGTGCTGAGACAGAGACTGAGCATGGATGAGCCCCAGCATGGCAGGCCCTGGATCAGGGTGCTCAGGGGCCTAGCTCTTGAGCCCCAAAGACGTCACCGGCCAGGAGCCAGACTGACGGCAGCCTCCCTGTCTTCCAGATCCCCATCCTCATCCCGTGCCACCGAGTGGTCCGCAGCAGCGGAGCCGTGGGCAGCTACTCCGGAGGACTGGGCGTGAAGGAGTGGCTTCTGGACCATGAAGGCAGCCTGGAGGGGACACCAGCCCGTGCAGGGGGCTCCCGTCCAGCCAGAACCGGCACGGGGCCCTGAGGGGCAGCAGCAGCTCCGAACCTGCCGGCCGGCACTAGGAGTAGATGTGTGACCCGCCAGTGTGGCGGCAGGCCAGGGGTCTGTGTGGGGCACCACCACAATAAAGCAGCTGCCGTGTCTGGGGATGTGTCTGTCCTCCTTTGTCGTCTTCTGTTTTACTGCAGCGTGAGTGCAGGAGGCCAGCCGTCCTGTGTGTGGCTCGTCCCCTTCTCTCACGATGCCGCACCAGTTCCAGGGTCTAGTAAGACAGGGATGGGGGGACTGGGAGCAGGAGGGCCACCACACTGGAAGGGAAGCGTTGGTGTCCACAGGGAACGGCTGGCTGCTGCCCAGGGCCACGGCCCACGCAGCCTGCTCCAGGCTGCAGCCATGGTCACCACCCCCCCGAGAGGCTGACCACCCGACTGGCCCCACTGTCCCTCCCTGCTGTGCAAGCGCCCGTGAAGGAGGGATGGCCACGGAAATGGTGCCCGTGGAGGTTTCTAGCTTGTCTGCCCAACTGCTGGGAAGGCCCGGCTCGTGCGTCCACCCTTGGTCCGCATCCATCGGACAGAAAGGAACCAGCTGTTAGAATGATTTGGAAGCATCAGCTGCTCTGTGGTCGTGGGTGTGACTGAAGGGCACCCAACAGATGGAGTTTCAAGGCACCCCCACCCCACCCCCACTCCTGGCCTTAGCACCTGACAGCACCCCAAGGTCGAGCCTAGAAGTCAGAGGTCACACCGATGGCGGGTCAGCTCCTGGGGCTGGGTCATTAGGGAGCGTCTCCAACATCTGCACACCACAGCCTGATCCTTTATTATCATGTTGTCATCTTGGCTTATAATTTAACTGTGTCTGAAAAGCAGGGAAACTTGTAGCTATGCGTGCAGATAAATAAAATAGCGCATGTGATATACGGGGAAGTAAACTACACCCAGCTGTGCAATAGAAAGCTGTATTTTTGTCGAGGGTTCCTGTGACGGTATAAACCACAGCTGAGGGGCTCAAGTGGTTTCTCTCTGTCACCAGAAACCTAGATGAAAGTACAGCTTTATAACGCATACGGTCGGAGTGTTTCATGTTTCGCATCACCTTGCCCACACAAGAACAGGTAAACCAACTTCGGGCTCTGCTCGCCAGTTTACCGTTTGTCACGTCCTTTTCCTCCATCGGCCGGATGAATTCGGGGCTTTTCCCCTCAACAAGGAAGGGACGTGTTCATCAGCCCGTACACACCCTTCCGATTCCAGCCCCTCGCGGGACGTAGTTAGGAAGCAAGCGAAGTCGTTTTCCCACCACGGGCTCCGTAGACGCCTGACTCGGGCCAGCCCCTGAGCCCCTCCCCCGCCCCTCGGGCACTGCGCTCCTTCCGCGTGTCACGCGCTTTGAAAACCGGAGGCGTGCGCTGGCTCGGAGTCTCTAGTGAGAGCCCAGGGCCTGTTCCTGCTCCTGGCATGTTGAGAAGATGAGTGGGGGTCTGGGCTGCACTTCGCATCTGGGGGTCCTGAAGGTGGCTGTGCTCCAAGTCCCCCAGGAAGGGGCTTCCCTCCATAACCGAGGCCCCGAGAGGCATGGCCTCTGCAGCCTGGTGGTTCTCAGAGGCAGCAGCTGGGCCTTGCCGCCGGGATGTGGGTTTGTTCTGAGTGCGTCCCAATAGAGGGCGCCATAGCAGTGCGCTGGGCTGTGTTGGGAGACCCCAGCCACCACTCTGCTCCAGGACGGCTGGAAATGGTCAGCAGGTGGGACTGTCAGATGGCTCTGTGACAGTCCCCCAGCGCGTTGGGCCGTCGGGGCTGCTGACAGGTGAGCAGGCCTCTCGGTGACACTGTCAGCCCCTGACGATGCTCCAGACGTCCCGCACTGCCCTGCGCTCTCCACGGGGCCACCTCCTGGGCCAGGAGAGCGTGGCTCCCTTACACGAGGAAGCCTCCCGCGCTGATCTCCAGGTCCCCAGGTGGGCTCCCTGGATGTAGGTGCAGCCAGGGACCCGCCCGTCAAAGCCACCCGAGGTGACCCGGCCCCCCCGCAGGGCTGGCACGGCCTCGTTGGGCCGTGCCCTTGGTGCAGTACAAACCCGCGCTCTGTTTGCTGTCTCGCAGGGCCTCCCCGGCCCTGTCACACCGGCTTGATGTATGCCCCGAGGTTCCCGCTGACAGAGGCAGCCGCGGCCTCGCGCCGGCGTGGCCATGTACCGCTCCAAGGACAAGTGCAGCGGAGGCGACATGAAAGCCAGTGTGGTCGCCTAGAGCCACTGCTGCTCAGCACTGAGCGCAGTTTATGAAAGTGAAGGGGGAGAAGGAAAGGCACAAAGAGAGACAAAAATATTTTCCAAATACAAAGAATGTCGACACAAGGAGGCTGTGTTCTTCGGCTTTGGCCCCGGGTCCCCTCGCCAGTCAGGTCTCCCATCCTTCCTGCGCGTGGCGCTTTGAACGCTGGCACGGGGCCCGCGGGCGGCAAGACGGCCGCGCACCGGCTCGGCCAGCACAGGCTGGCTCACCCACTCCCAGAGCCCAGGTAAGGGAAGATTCAGAAATGATGTCTGTTTTTGCAGAACCACACTCACCACGACGTAGGCCCTTGGCCACGCAGAAGGCCGGGTTTCGTGCAGGATTGTCGCGTTCTCCTCCGGGTCCCTTCCCCCTTTAGGGGAGAAGGTGTCGAGTAACACCCCTCCTTTGCCACGTCCTGCGGCCAGGTCCAGTGATGACACCACAGTGCGAGCCCGACTCCTTGGCGTCCAAAGAAGAAAAACGACAGTTTCCCAGCGTGGGGTGTCTCGGCTGCACTGAGGACAGATCAGGGAGACGGGGAGGGCGCGCGGGAGGAAGCTCTGGAACATGCTGTCACGCACCAGGGCCGGGGACAAACTGCAACTGAGGTACACGAAGGTGGCAGGCGTGGCGGATTTCTGAGCAAGTGGCAGCCTTGCTTGGCAACTGAACAGGGTGTTTAACATGTGTCCAGTTCCTTTCGAGCAGGAACAGTCACTGAGCAGCCCGCGTGTGGCCCGGTCACCGGCTGCAGATTGCAGTCATTTCTTTCTTTTTTTTTTTTTAATTATTTTTGTTACAGATGTTTCTCCTTTTCCCCCCACTGATTCCCCCCTCCTCCTCCCTCCCTGCCCTGTCCCCAGCTTTGTTGTCCATGTCCATTGTCCATGCACACATGCATATAAGTTCTGTGGTCTCTCTCTCCCCCACCACCCCCTCTTCTGGGGATTGTCAGTCTGTACCCCACTTCCACGTCTCTGCAGTCATTTTTTTTTTTCATCCTCACCCAAGGACATTTTTTCCATTTTTTTGATCAGGTAGAGTGGGAGGGAGAGAGAGAGAGAGAGAAACATCGACGTGAAAGGGACACATCGAGTGCTTGCCACCCGCACGACCAACCAGGGCTGGGGACAAACTGCAACTGAGGTACACGCCCTTAGCGGGAACCGAACCCCGGTCTCTCGGGACCGCAGGCTGATGCTCTATCCGCTGAGCCAAACCGGCCAGGGCTGCAGTCATTTCTAACGGGTCCGCGCTGCACGGTGTCTTCCGGGGTCTCCACCCTGCAGTCTGCTGCCCGGAACCTTTGTCGAGGGGCCGCGCATCTCCGGGGCGGGTATGTGTGTAGCGAAAGATCGTTCTTTGTCTCTTAACCCTTGTGCGGGACAGCATGTTCCAGAGCTTCCTCCATGAGCAGTGCGGTGTCGAAGGCAAACTGCCTGAGGATGTCTTCCGCCCGTAGGGGGCGCACTGCGCTGGAGCCCCGGCCTCTGTTCCTCCTCTGGGCAGCTAGCTGGCAGTGACACGGGCGGCATCGCAATCGCAACGCTGTCCCCTGACGTGGCGCCCACAGGACCTCCGGGCCCTGTTGGCCGTGTCCCCTCGCATCTCCGCAGCACCGGCGTGCCCTGCCTTGGCTGTCAGTGAGCCTGCAACTGCAACCTCAGGCAGCGGTGCCAGCTCGAACCCCAGCCACTGTTGGAAGGAGATGTCGTGGCTAAGTTGATGTGGAAATGGTTCCTCTCGCTCCGAGCTGGCCAAAGGGCTTAGTGCTACTTGGGTGTCGTGCTCCGTGTAGGGAGATTCCAGAGGTGAATGGGGGGGCTGATGGGGGACCCAGAGAAAACATGTTTTATTTCACTCAGGAGACATTCCTGAAGGCCGGTCAGGAAACGGAACCTGTCGCCACGGTGTCTGGGCGCGGGATGCGCTCGGGCCTCAGCGTCACGGCCTGAGCCTCCACACTGCTGTCCTGGCGGTGGGGGCAGGGGGCCATGGGGTACGGCAGCCGGCGCATGGGGGCCCTCGGCGGGGGCTCCCTGTGTTTGGCCTTCCTCAGCCCAGGCAGGGTTTTTGTTTTGTTTTCCTTTCTCGTTCATAGACATTTGATTGAAAGTTTGTGTTCAGGAAGCTGAAGTTCACATCAATTTTACCTGTTATCAGTTTGAAAGATGTTGAGGTTTAAACAGAGCTCTGCCAAGAAGCCCCTGTCTGTCTGTCTGTCTGTCTGTCTGAAGCAGGAGGGGAGGCAGTTGAAAGCCAGGCCTGGCGCTGGAGAAACTGCAGGGACCAGTGTGTCTCTCAATGACTGAGGACAGCCGCCCGGAGTCCTCGGCCCCCATGGCTCCAGCTGCCGACAGATGGAGGGTGTCTGGCCTGCATCACCCAGCCAGCTCCGAGGGGGCGGGGCGGGGCGGGGCGGGGCGGGGCAGCCAGTGCACATGGAGGCAGAGCCCAGCCTGCCCAGGCCCTGGCGGACGACAAGTCGTCGTTAGCAAAGCCTGGACGTCCCTCGTTAATGTGCTCGTCATTGAAAAGCTCCACGTGGACAGGAGTTAGGATTGATCCCGAAAACGGGCACTGGTGGTGGTGACGGGTGTCCTCAGAGACCCTCCCCTAAACGCCATGATTTCGAGCCGCGTCCTGGGTTCCCGGGTGTCGGTGACAGTGCTGTTGGTGAAGGTAGGTGCCGGGACTCTCGGGTGGCAGGTGTCTCATGGTCTGAGGGTACAGGACAGAGGTGCCAGGTAGTCATTGTCATGAACTCGGGTGTGGTGGGAGCAGCACGGAGGAGGCGGCTGCTACCGGGAGGCTGAAACATTGCAGCTCATGGAGGGCCCATGGGGCTGTGCCGCGCTCTGAGC